TTACAGGCGTATGCGGCTTCACTTGGACGACTGGAATGTATACCGTCAGTCAGGCGTGTCTCCCAGACTGTTTTCCCGGAGAAAAGGCGTCACAAATGGTCCACGAGGGATTTGAACCCCCGTTGTACTTTTATTGGATCGTTGTTAAGATGTACAGAGTAGAATATCCACTTGCTATAGATGTAGCATAGTGGATGTGCTGTACATCTAACACACACATCCCCTTCGACTGTGGTGTTCCCTCGAATGGGTACTGTAGTCTTTCTTTGTATATTTTCCAACAAAAACAAAACACGTATGGCAGCCAGAGACTAGTGTGTACGTAAGAAGTCGGCTCTTCTTGAAGCAGTTTAGGACAGTCCCACCAATCCAACAGCAAAAGATGTACTGTGTTGGTTCGGTGTGATGGATGACAAGTGCTGGCGCCACCCAACAGAGTGGTTGTCCAAAACCTGACGATACCTTGTTGGACAGCACAGGCAGTTATACTTTTGTCAGCTCGCCCAGCCTTGTTGGGCAACGTACGCAACACGTGGGCTACGCTGGTTTCGCGCAAAAAAATCTGACAGTCAATCTCCTGTCGAAAATCATAGGCGAGATATTATAGGGTATCCACTACGGAATGACGCAGAATTTTGACTTTTGATGATTAACGCTAACATATAGTAACGGTTGAGGGTGTTGACGCGAAAAAAATCGCACCGCTTGTGCCCGTTGGTACCTAAGAGGAAAAACACAGGTAGCTTTTCGCTTACGCTATGGTATCATTGCTAATCTATCTTAGACTTATTTCTAAAGATAGAGATGGACTTGTTGTGTGATATTAAAAAAAAAATAGTGTAGTGTAGTGTTGACGCGACCCAGGGTTGGTTCGGGCTGCCACCCAGAGGATCGACGTGCTGAAGCGAAGACTCACACTCCCAGGCTTGTCCCAGGCTCCCACGAGACTGGGTGTATACCCCTCCGCCTCATCCCGCCGATCTTCCCTCCTTTGCCGCGGCGACTTCCCAGGCGTCAAACAGTTGTTGCTGAGGCAGCTGCTCGCTGCACTGCTGCTGCTGTGTACCAATGTCACTGAGGCAGCAGAGCACCCAACCCCGTGAGGGGGCTGGCGAGATGCACCTACTGACCGGCCACGTCCATGTACTCTCCCTTACTCCTTCATCTGTGTTCCGTTCGAGGGCGGGACTCCTATACGACTACTGCCTAAGCCCGCTTTTGCTTCTGAAAGCCCGTGCGCAATCCCGACGGCGCACCTACCGGATGCGCGCGCCGAACACGCGAGTCCGGCCACTGCGCCGCCGTGAGAACTCTCCGAGACGTGTGTATGTGTTTGTATTATTAGCATCGACCGCGCTAACCGGCTGACCAATGAAAANATACGACTACTGCCTAAGCCCGCTTTTGCTTCTGAAAGCCCGTGCGCAATCCCGACGGCGCACCTACCGGATGCGCGCGCCGAACACGCGAGTCCGGCCACTGCGCCGCCGTGAGAACTCTCCGAGACGTGTGTATGTGTTTGTATTATTAGCATCGACCGCGCTAACCGGCTGACCAATGAAAAGACGTCAGTCTCAGTGTGGTTGAAAACACAAAACACTTTTATCTGCCATGAACTGGGACCCCGCGAGGGGGCAGCATGGGGGAGGCGAAACTATCCTTCGGATCAAAGACAGAAACGGCAGCAACAGAAGAAAACTGCACGTGTCTACCAAAGCTACTACCTTGTACTCGAGTTCGTTTTGGAGTACTTTCACCATTAGACTATCGTCCTTGTGTTCGCTACCATCATTCTGATCCTCATTTTGACAAGAATCTCTNAAAACACTTTTATCTGCCATGAACTGGGACCCCGCGAGGGGGCAGCATGGGGGAGGCGAAACTATCCTTCGGATCAAAGACAGAAACGGCAGCAACAGAAGAAAACTGCACGTGTCTACCAAAGCTACTACCTTGTACTCGAGTTCGTTTTGGAGTACTTTCACCATTAGACTATCGTCCTTGTGTTCGCTACCATCATTCTGATCCTCATTTCGACAAGAAGAATCTCTGGGCAGTTCTTCCCTAGCCCTACGTTTCTTGTTGNTGTGTGTGCGTGTGTGCTGGACCGCTAGGAGTAATCAGTAGGCGTGGTCAATAATGTTTTTACTGCTGACGGCGCTCCTTTCGTGATTTGGGGACGGTAACAGAGCAAGCGTGTGTGTGCCAGTCTGGCGATAAGTGAAGTGTCATTCTTTTCGCGTCGCTTGATGTTTTGACGGTTCCTCAAAAAAAAATCGACGTCAGAGTTTGCCCCCCAAAAAGTGGCGTAACATCGTCACGTCAAAACTTCCTGAAATGTCAATATTTCACGTCAGTTCAACAACACGTGGATTCCCTCTATTGTAGCTTCTTTGCCATGCTTCCTTTCAAAATCCTTTATCTAGACTAAGCAAGTCCGTTCCTATCTACAATAGAACACGAGAGAACGATACTCCACGCACCTTTCTATTCCTTTATCCCTCTTCAGCCGCACCACAGAGACGCCTGCCTTCATCCAGCGTTGGCGTCGTTATCCCATACGCAGACGAGTCCACGCGTGCTACCTGTATACGTATAGACTATCCTCTCTGTATGCTGCTGTACGCCCACTTGGGTCGAGGGTGACGGGGTTACACACCCAGGGTGGGATGCGTTCCTTCAATTAGCTCAGGACATGAAGATGTCTCTCACATGAGTTCTCTTGTGTTTGCTAACACCCCGGGTCGATTGGAGACAGTTGATGGGTGATGGACTGGGACACTGGGACTACTGCACCCCACTAGGAAAAATGGAATTGAAGCAAATACACGACCAAGATGCGGTTTCCGCGTTTGCCCCCGAAACGTAACCTAGAGGCAGAAAACCTTTTTTCAAAAAAAAATGGTTCTATGCGGCTGCGGCATGCGGCGCAAATGTCTCTCCTTGTTTACATAGCCAGCCGTGTCGCCGTCTTCGCTCGTCCCTCCTCCCACTTTCGCACATCCCGCCGCTGGACAATTTAATCTACGGTGACATTCTCTCAACCACGGGGTGAGTCAATTTGCCGCACCGATCCCCCCCCTCCAATACCAGCCAGCAGGTACACAGGTACCACCGTTTCCCCTGCCCCGATGTGCACTTTCGGTGAGAATTACTGCTGCTAGGTCGCGATGTAATATTCGCAGCGCTGCGACCAAAGGAACTGGTGGGTAACCGCGGTGCTGTCGTTTCCTGCACCTCTGAAACGCCGTCCAACCGTAACTGTGATCAGGCCTGCAAAGCACCGAGTCTGGAGCTCTTTATAAATTCGCACGTACCGGGCACTTGCGGCAGCAAACTAGCTGCCTTATTCTAGACTCGCTGCGTTTGGAGAATGTCTCTGACTTCCGCGAAACGATTACGGAAAGAGATGCACAAGCTGCAGACCTCCCCACCGGACGAAGACATCAGGATGTCTGCCGACGAGGACGACATTCGACAGTGGCGGGCGTACATCCGGGGGCCGCCAGACACACCGTTCGCAGGAGGTACTTGTATGCATATGTCCGTCCCAACTTTGTTGCCGTGCGACGGGTCCTTTTATTACGATACAAATCGGTCAAACGCTGTGTTGTGTCGCTGTACAGTGACGTGTGTATGACCAGCACTGGGTCATGTCCACCTTGAGTACTACTGTAGAACAACGGTCGTAGCTCTGATGCTGGCAGCTGCGGCGGGGGGGGGGACCACTGTGGTTCTCCTGATGTATGTACGTAAAGTTTCGATATTTCTTCAGGTGTACCGCGCCGGAGGTCAAACACCGTGAAGCAACGACACCCACCCCGCCTTCCGACAGGCATCTACGAGCTGAAAATCACGGTGGGGCAACAGTACCCCATGGTGCCTCCATGTATGCGGTTCGTCACGAAGGTCTTCCACCCCAACGTGCACTTTAACGTGAGTTATGCGTATGTACGATGTTCAGGGTTGTATAAAAGCCGAAATCAAACCATAAGTTTAGCCTACTCCGCCTTGCGCAGACTCGCCCCGGTGGTCTGGTGGTATCCTCGTAATCCGCTAGTCACAAAAGGTCGTGAGTTCGAATCCCCATGTGGTGAAAAAATTACGAAATGTGCGTGTGAAAGCGAAACATAGCTGACAAGCTCTCGCGAGTACCAAACTTCGACGTTAGCACCGTTGACGAGGGAAAGGGACGGCTGAACCCTTCTCGCGATAATAATAAAAAATACAGCACGCACCGCAGGAGGAAGGGTGTGATATCAAAAGAAATAAAAAGAAGAAAAGGGCCCTGGTGTTTACCCCCCTCTTGTGTGACCCTGGATGGTTGTAGTTGTACGAAAAACTACACTGAAAGTGTAGTACTCTACATACGCTGAAAAATATAGTACACGTCTAAGCACGGGGACTGTCGCCATAATGAATAGGACGAAAAAACACACACAACAGACTAAGCTAGTCAAATGGTGTGATATCGGCTTCTATAAGAGCCTGTCGTGGGGTTCGTGTGTCCTGGTACTTCCACTTCCGAGGAGGGCGACTCCCATTGCCAGCGCTACCTTCCGTCCAATCTCTCTTTCGCTTCATATCACTCACACACAGTCACCCACATCCTGCAGGATGTTCTAGGGTCTCGGACGAGTGCTTCCGTCACCCATGCTCTGGCCGGGAGTATCCAGGGTTCCAGGGAAAAAAATACCTCGAAATGTCCAGCCGGCCTCGACAAACTCTCAAGGCTGACTAGTCTAATGGTTTGACTTCGGCTTGTATAGTTGGTATTTCAGCCACCGTACTCAAGTCTAATCCAGGCTGCATGTCGATATGCCCAAGGGAAGCAGCAGAAGAGTCTCGGCCAGATTTCGTTATTGTTGTTGCTGTCGCTGTCACCAGTGTCTTCTACAAGCCGTAGGACGAATTTTCCCGAATTCTGTCGTACCTTCAGTATGGAGAGACATCTCCCTTGGTTATGTTGACGCTGTGGTGCGATTTATTTCCGCCCGTCAATGTGGCACGACACGTCTCGTCAACGTTTCTTGCGTACTAAATACGTTTCAATCCCTCTGTCCCAGACTGGCGAAATTTGCCTGAACATTCTCAAGAAAGAGTGGTCTCCTGCGTGGAGCCTGCAGGTGAGGCTCCCAACCGTCAGCGACCTGTGCATTTTGTTGACGGTGGTAGGTTGCGGGATCACCAAAGGCAGATGCCTTCAAGCAAAGTCTTGAGCTTCGGCGGCGGCAGCAGGAGCAGCAGGAGCAGCATCAGCAGCAAGTATAACGAAATGAACCTTTCTTGACAACCTCAGCAATATGGTGACAGTTTCTCGTTGCCACCGAGGTGTTGCCACGAGGATTTACCTGTGTGCCCAGCTAGAGCATAAAACCCCCAATGTTAGTCGGCAACATTACACCCGCGAACGGTGCCACGTGAAACTTGCTTCAGCTCGCTCCATTTGACTGATCACACACACCACCACACCATGACTCTACCGACCAGTCAGCTGGTGTCGCAAGGTTTGCTGGCTACGTATTGTCGCATGGCCACATGCTCACGCCGAAACTCCTGATGCCATGCCGGCTTGATGCATCCCGCGTTTTTTGTTGCGTGCTTCCTGCTCGTTCAGGGGGCCTGTAGAGCAATCCTGGCTCTGCTTGCTCATCCTGAGGCGGACAGCCCCCTCAACTGCGATGCAGGTATGTACGATGGCCAAGCTGCTGGTTTTTGGACACCTCTACGCCCTGCATCGTCTGATCTGGGGCCAAATTGTTACGGATTTTTGTCGCCTACCGTGTAAGACGAGCAGAATTTTTAATCTCACCTCTGGTTGATTGCTCAATTGAATGGGTTTTGTTAGTTTTACTGGATATCATGGGAAATGTGAACCAAAACTCCTACGTATGTATGTGTATGTCATGCCAAATCCAAGCGAATTCAACCATCACTTTTGTCCGCTGATGGTGCCTTAACAACAGTGTGTGAATAGGTGCATGGCTATATCTTTTCGCGTTTGTTGACTTTCGTGACGGATACCACTACTTGTTAACTCACGAATACAGTTTCGTGGGCTGGCCTCACGTGTGATCCATACTTCCCAGCATATTTGCCGCCTACTGTGCGAGCCCGGGATAGGCGCAACAATTAGTCCGCAGCTTTCACGGATCGTTTTGTCTGCACCGACCACACCGTCCCCTTTTACCGAACTGACCGCTTTCAACCACAACGGCTGTCGCGTGCAGGAAACATGGTGAGAGCAGGCGACATGCGAGCCTTTCGATCCGTGGCTCGATTATACAACGAGGAGTTAGCGTCCAAGGATTGGCCGGCACATTTTTGAGTGATGACTGTCCTGAGAAAGGTTTGTGGGACAACCATCGATAGTGTTGTCAACCAAGTGCATCGTCATCGAACGGCCGCGTGGTTTCGGTCAAGGCATTTGTTTTGCACCGCAATCCATCCATCAAGAGGAGGCCTGCAAAAACGAGACAATCAGAGATAAGGAAGGGTCTCCAAGGCATGTGTGCAAGTTTCACTGCTAAAGGACAAGCCTCATCTCGTAGATCGGACCAATGGCCCTCACTAAGGTCTTCATAGTTTTGCATGTTTTCTCGAAGCTGTTCACGAGAGCCAGAACTTGTACCCTGACCTCTTATTTTGCTTTCCTTGCAGCCTTGGTTCGATTTCTCTGCTGAAGCCGCCATACAGGGCGCAACGGATGTTTGAAAGTGGGGGTGAGATATTGTGCCGCAGGCACGTGTTCGCACAAGTGCGCAGAAACCTGCCGTTACAAATGGCTGAAACACGCAGCAGTGACAAGGGGAGGATGGTGCTATTTCCTTCAGACAGGAGTTAGTCGGCGAGTTGGGGAACTATACTGTGATCAATGAAAAAGAAACGCAGGGTATCCATACTTGTTGGTCTGACAGGGGTTGGAGATCAAACAGTGTACATCAGAGCGTGGCCTGAGGGACGCCATATGTTGCCGCCGGCCTCTACCTTAGGGTAGACTGCAGACTATCCGCCTACTAAATTTAAAAAAAATATAATCCCGGTATCAATCAAGCACGCTGTTTTTCTATCCAAAAATCAAAACCTGGGCTGAGGACTCGTTCTGCATAGAAGATGACATACACAACCGTTCAACGGACAATACGCCCACTCACAATATCGTTGGAAATACAATACAAACCCGAAGATAGCCAGAAACCGAACCACCGCGCCACCGACATCATCAACGCCTCACCTCTTCCGTCACTCATGGGGACTACCGAGGGAAGACATTTGCCGCTATAGCATCTACTCCAAATTACCACGCCCTGTACAAACTGGTCAACCGGTTGTCCTTGTGAAGGCAACGGTTACACGACAGAGACTGATCTTCTTCCGATCTCTCGGCTACGCAATGTGCCCCTGCAAGATAACGTTCCAAAAACAATTAACATAACCCTTGGCAACACCGCCGGTGTCTTCCGAACATTCCAGGAAACTGCCAGTCACCAATTGATAGAAGTAGACGCAACGCTTTGCAGCACGCCATTCCGAGATTGGCCCAGCCCCACTCGCCAGAGGACCATGCGGAAAAGAGGACAAGGCGGCGTTGCTGCTATTGCAACTCCACCAGGTCGGTGATATCCTGTTGTGTTGTTGCGTATTTGATGGCGAGCACCGGAAGTCGAGGCCGTCACTCAAAAATTGTGATGTGAGTTTGCATGAGGTCTTCGTGCTTGATACTTCAAATTCGGAATGTCCATATTGACAAACATGTCGGCGTACATACACTCAAACACATGCTGGTTGCACCCCATTTGGGTCTTCCATCTGCAAAGAAAACGCCCCTAAAACATAAACGATCAAGACAAAAAAATCAGACGGAACATGTACCGTAGACGACACAAGACAACACACCCTGGTGATGCCATTTTGGCATTTTGGGCTTAAAAAAACATATCACCAGGTGTGGTATCCTGTGGGGGGTGTGGTATCTTATGTAGCCCAGGTGGTAAAGTGCAGCTCGCTTGGGCCCTCGAGAGGGTGTAATAAACCAGGGGGTGTGATAGCACTTCCGAATACCCACAGGGTGTCTTTGGGGTGAGATAAATGAGGGGGTAAGGAGGTGTGCTAGCACGTCCGAATATCCACAGGGTGTGTTCGGGGTGTGACAATGAGGGGGTGTGGTAAAAAGGTGGTATAACACTTCTTGTAGAGTTGAATTGCTGCTGCCGCACACTTGGTATTGCGGGAGTGTGATAGCAATGCCTGTGCGAACACTTCATGACTTGTTCTGCGGAATGCGGTAAAACAAAGGAGCTCAACGGAGGTGACGAAACTCCTAAGCACCTGACTCGGTGGCTAGAGTGCGCCATCCGTCCTGCCCTCTCACACAAAAAGTAGGCTCCTGCATACCTTGCTATTGGGTACGACCAAAAGAGAGTTACGCAGATGTTGTGTGTGTGATATACCCACATACCCACGCGGCAGATATTGTATCACCCCGGTGATAGAAGGAGGGGCCTGAGGCGTAACCTCAAGCGGTGTGCTATCTTATTTAGCCCCGGTGATACATCGATGGTTTGTGAGAAACGTCGAATATTATCACCGGGGTGTCGTATTCTGTGGGGGGTGTGGCTTCTTACGTGGGTGTGTTATCTTGTGTCGTCTACGGTATTCCCCCCAAGCAATGTGTTGCTTGATGCTACGCAGAGATGTAGCACTCAGGCCACCCGCGCCGACACTCCAACAAGCGTGCGCCAATCATGCTTCCATATGCACGTTGTACAAGTACTACCCGAAAGAATGTACAGCGTGTGCATACCTGCATGCAAATGGGGCAGAATGTCATGCACGCCCCACACCTTGTGCACATGCACTGGTGTCCACAGTCCAAGCACACGGTATTCGTCGCCCTGCGGGCGTTGCGACGGCCAAGCAGCGGACGTGATACATAAACGCCCAAGATACTAGGCAGAATAATTGCAACAGCAGTCCGAGTTCCTGTCGATCACACGGAGTGCGCAGTGCGACGCACGGCGACTACCACTTGTGCCATCGGACTGACAACGCCCACCCACACATGGTTACCCACGACAACTACCAACAAAGACTCGTCATGAAGTAGGTTGATATAACTCCACGCCTATCGAAACAATTGCACCAACCCGGGCACGGCACCGCACACGAGTACAGGAGCTAGATTGTTGTTGTTGTTGTTGTCGTTGTTCTTGTTCTTGTTCTTGTTCTTGTTGTCTTCACGTCGAACACCGTTACGGCCTGTCTCTGCTCAGTACCTTATATTACCAGTACCGGTCCAACTGATGTGGGCGCCTTGTGTGTTGACGGGCCAACTACCCATCGCAACAACAAAACATGCGCATGCATTGCCCACCACAGCAACCTTTCGAGTCAACGTGTCAGAAAGAAAAGGTTCTCTATAAAATCCGCCAGTGACAACCAACTGTTTCGTATCCGTTCGTGGGAAAATATCAGCAGCGACTCGATGTTGTAATCTCGAGGTAATGGAGCTCAGCGGTCCAAGCAAAAAAAAACAAACAGACGCAGAGCTACTTAAGGCCTAGAGTCTTCACCTGTCCCAGCAGATCTTGCAAGTTCGGCTATCACTCTGGGCCTCCTGGGCCTTGTCTGCTCTCTTCCTAACCTTGTAAGGCGAGAACCCACACCATCAACGGAGGGGCAACACGACATGCGTCCTCTGTAAATAGTTATCTATCAACACTCTGAAAGTAGAAACGGTGTAAGTAGGTAGCATGCCTCTTCCGTTTCGGCTCTCATCGACACTTGTACACCGCATTTTTCCACTTGCACTAATGTAGAAAGTGATTTGTCAAGTCTTGCCATGAGATTGTTCCCACGTTTCTGTGCTTCAACCTGATATACCCCAGTGAATTGCTTCCACCGTCTTGAAGAGAAGGACCAAACACTCCTGCGCCAAGGAGCGATGTCTCCGTGTTGTCTCTTGGGCCCTCCAGAATATGCTATGTACCACGTAGAAAACCAAGTCGTTCCTTATTCCATGGGATAACCAACCTTGTTGTAAGTGTAGAATTATTAACTGCCGTTCTTGTAGACGAAACCTATCGGTATTCTAGCCATATTATCTCCCGGTTTTTCAAGTGGTGGGAAATCCTTTACGCGTGGACGAAGTGGCGAACGAACCGGAGTCACCAAGCTGCGAACACACCTCTTGAAGTTTCTCGAGAGCTTCCCGCTTGTCTTGGGCGATGGATCGTAGCGCCGCCTGAGGGGGCAGCAGGGAGAATCAGGGTGAAGGCAGTATTAACTCGAGTGGGAGGGCTGGTGAGACGGCAAGATGTAAGGAAAGTTTCAATGGTCACATTCTCACCGACTTGATCAAGCTCGCGCGGAGAAAAGGGCGGGCAGCAGGCTAGCATGTGGGTACATGCTTCCAAACAACGCCAGCGAACGCTCGCTGTACCTTACAAACGTTTCATCTAGTGAAGCAGGATACACGTTGCATGCGTGAGTAAATGCTGCCACGCAATGCCGGCCGTGTATCATACATTCACGCATCATCGGCCATGTATCATACGTACACGCATCATTCGCAGAATTGTACAATAATCAGCGCCCGCACGCAAGAACTTGGCAGTTAAGAAGCTGATGAAGCCTAAAAAAACTCAAAATCTCGTCAGTTTAGAACCTGATATAGCCTCGAAAAACTCAACATCTAGAAACTTGAGCACCATTCGTAAGCTCAGTAGAGAACCGCTTCACTAAAACCTATATAGAGGCCATTCGTAGCATAACCTAGGAACAATGAACCAACCCCAAAACTGGAGATTGTTAAGCGCGGTCTCTAGCTGCACGCGGTTGATGGTTCCTCACAAGGCGGAAGTTTTGTCTTAGCTTAGTCCATCTCCGGGCCGGCTCGCGTAGGTACCCCGTCTCCTTGGCAACGGCATCTGATCAAATCGTTCGAGAACCCAAGCCCATCATTGGTAAATGACGCAGCGTCTGGTAAATGAAGTGATGGGGAGGTGATGCTGCTCGTGCCCAGGGAGCTCGTACATCTGTACGCCTTGATTGATTGTAGAGATGTTTCTTCTCGACAAGTGCCCTATCTCAACCAAAACGTGTGCGCATTTCGAGATCTGCGCATGAAATGCCGTGGATACATGCCCCATCTCGCTCCACCTGGCACTCAAGCCGTGCTGCGTCTATAGTGTTGGATCTGACTCTCATGAAGAATAATGGACGGGAGCTGAAGCCACTCAGCTACAGCAGTACATCGAATGGAGGAGGTCGTCTTCGGTCAGTACGCGCAGCAGTCGACAAAATGAAGGACACATACACCAATAATACGATCGGTGCTGATGTGCATCCTTTGTGATCGACATGTGGCTTGTTATCGTGCGACAGCAGTCAGTACCTGTGGTGGAGATAACCGCAGGGATGGGGTCCGTCGTGCCGTCGCTGCTGTGTGCACCGTCGTCATGACAATCAGAATCGTCAACTGGTTGAAGAGATTCAGTTTTTTTTCCACCTGCTCCACCTATGATGACGTTTTCACTCTGACCACAGACAGGGTTCCCAGGGGTGGAGTCGAGGTTCACGATCGACTCCACTTCTTCGCGCAGATGCGAATGCGGATGGCACCAGATTACAGTACAGCAGTCATGGCCGGGCGAAGCCAGAGGAGAGAAGACGCGAAGCGATAGGAAAGGGAAACAGAGCGGGTGCTGATCCATGACAAAAAGAGACAGAGAGGCGTAGACTAAGCACCCAAGCGTCGATTTTGCGTCAAGGGACAGACTAGTCCGACATGCTGTTTTCTGGAGACAACACTGCTGCCTTCCTCTTTGACAACGAAACTTGCAGAGCAGGCAAGCGGTACTGTAGGTGTACTCACCACTGTGAACGTCGTCGGTGACGCCAGCGAGGGCCATTCGGGAGCTGGGGAATGAAGCAGCGTGTCGCTGGTGCCAGTCTAGGGAGTCCGCAAGATCATTTTCACCAAATAAGGTACCCATGCAAGAGTTGAGCAACCAGTGTAGGGAAGGACATACACGATCACCTCAGTGCACACACGACGATAGCGAGATGAACAATGCTCCCGCTGACCCGCTATCTTGGTATTATGATATACCCGTGGTGACCCGGGTGTATCTGACGGCTGCGTTTGTTACGACGGTGAGTCCTAAGGCGCAGCTTCCTCTGCGTTTGAAATCGGCAGCTCGATCAGATCAAGAGACCAGCTGATGACAGCGTACTACAGCAGTTACCAAACCAGTGCAACCCCGGCGTTGCTATGTGAACAACGCGACCCCCTTGAGGTGTGTTGGTTGGCGAGATAGTGTCACCCACTTCGTACCTTGTAGTGGTATGATGGAGCGAACCACGAATGTGTCGGCACTGCACTGCTCTCCCTTTGAAACTCTCTGCCGGAGAGACGAAAAACGGTTGAAACACTTGCTGTGCTCTTCCGAGAACATGGTCTATTTTTATTTGTTTGCGGGGAGACACGTGTCCCACCTTCTGCTGGAATCTTTCCCATGTTGCAGCAGCAGCAACCCCACATTGTTGCGTCGAATCACCGTGATAGAATTACCAGACACTCATCAATTTTTCAACGATCACTTGAGGCAGAGTAAATGCAAGTATCGCCTCGGCACTATGTAGTATGCCATTTTATTTGAGTGTATCTTTTAAGGGTAAGGGCCGTTTTAAACGGACCGACTTTTTGTCAAAAATTTTGAAAGTGTCGAAAAAATGGAACCTGTATGTAGGCGTTTGTCCATTTTTTCAAAAATATTTGGAACGAAGTTGGGCGCGAAAACTTTGCTCCACTTCGTTCCAACTTTTTGACAACCCTCTCAAAGTATTTGGAGCACTTTCCAAAGTACCCTTGCAGAGGCACGCGAGGGCTGCTGCGTCTGCACCACGAGTGCCCCTCACCGTAGAAAGTCAGCTAGGGTTGTGTGTGAGTCATCTGTCGCTGTCGCTATTGCTATCGTCGCTGTTGCCAACGTTGACGATGCTGTCTGCTGTTGCTGTGTCGTCCGAAAAACGGCGGTCCGCCATGATGGCTTGCAGTTGTTGCTTCGCGTCCGCCGCTTTGTTTTTTCCTTTTCCCGGGGGGGTAGGAGCAGTGGTTGCCACCCCTCGCCGGCGGCCTGCTCCACCCTCGCTCTGAGTGTTGGTGGCGGTAGCGCCTCCCGTGGTAACATGAGTGTTCCCCGAGATGCCAGGCAGCAGCACTATCTTTTGCTGGAGAGCAAGCCTCCACCGCCTACGGCGGCACCGAGAGAGCCCGTCTGCTGGAATTTCGCCGGGGCTTTCGTCTGCCGGCCACGCTGGGTGGTCGTGATATCCATGTCGGTGTCCATGATGTCGTGTTTTCCGCGGTTTGTGTTGTGTCGTGTTTGTTTTTTTGTTTTTCTCCCATCATTGGACTCTGTCGTCTGCCCCTCTGGCCCCTATCCTCCACTTCTACTAGCTAGACGACCCAACCGGGGTCACATGTGTGTTGTCTCGAAGTGAGCGCTACAACTCACGGACGGCGTCATTTTTTTTTACACAAGTTGCACAAGTCCACGTCACACGTTTAAAATGACTGCACACAGGTTCCAAGTTTTTGAAAGACAAATGTCGAAAATTTTGACAAAAAAGTCGGTCCGTTTAAAACGGCCCTGATAAGTTAGCCTGCGACCACGGGAATCGACCGCGTCGAGTGTTGTATCAGTACGGACATACGAAGGTACTGGGTAGAGAGAGATCGGAACGGTTTTTAATGTAAAGACAACAACAACAACAACAACAACAAGTATGGTAATACTGCTGTGCACCTGGAGCACCTTAAACTTACTGTGCTTCATGTTCATCGATGTTGTCGCCAACCCGACCTTGCCATGCATATTTAGCAAGTACACATAACCTCACAGAAAGACCACCGGTTCGAGACAATACCACCGTCGAAGGGGGTGTTTTGAAGTCTTGGCAGTAAGTGTGAAGAAACCGGCTGAATACTGGGCTTGTTTGGGGTCTGTTGAAGCCTATACACTTGACATTTTATCAGTGATGCCAGCAAGCGCTAATCACAAAGACACTGAACAGGTACCAATATCACAACACATGTTGTGACATTCTGCCTTCACAGGAACACGTCGCAATTGTCTCTTGACAATTTGCTGGAACTTTGTATCTATTGCTTCTGTTGATCTACAATGGTTACACACGTCATATTCCAAAAATCGAGGCGGATCAACTCCCTTGTGTGTCTTGCTTGCCTGCTTATCGCTGATGCCGTTTCGTGGGAGAATAGGCCATGTGCCAGCTGGATGCCACCTCTTCGACGAAGCTCTTCTTCAGCTGGCCGCTGATATGCAAGGGGCAGGTGTGGCGGCTAGTGACCAACTTCTTCTACTTCGGGGCGCTGGACGTGCACTTTCTCTTCCACATGTACTTCCTCGTGAGTACAACTGTATCCAACAACACCAATGAAATATCTACGATCAGCACCTAATCAACAAGTACAGCAATCTTGCCACAGAAGCAGTGTTAGGAGTTTAGATTGCGCCGCGTTTTTTTGTTGACCGGGTGCACGAAACCCAAATTTAGCAACGCCTGGCAGTTTTCCATGGAATGACTGGATATGACAACGGAGGATACCCTTGGGCAGAAAGAGACCGGGCACCTCGCCACAGAGCAGAGTGAACCACGGAAGAGACGTGACAGCTGCTACTTGTTGGTGATAACAAAGCATGACATCCACTTGGGGGGTCACGATTCGACCCTCCCCAGGAGAGATCGGTGTTGCCAAATATGATATAGAAAGTGAAGAACGTGAGATTTTACGTAGAACGCAAAAGCTCAAATATCCCGCCGCCGCGCGGCACCGCAACAGACCCATACTCTCTGAGTCAGATGAAATCAGCGATGGGCAAATCTCTGAATTTTCCCATCCACAGACTTCGAACCAGAGTTCTGGCGGGTGATTTAGGAAGCCCACAACCTTGGCTTCTTGTTTCACCAGCAGTTCTCAGTCAAAAGGGAATTGCCCTGTACGGCCACACGTCAAGTGCAGAGGGGTTGGACCGTTTGAAGCTCTGAGCAGGTCGGCCGTCTGGGCGCTGTAACACACCCGCACCGACAAACGGCAACGTGAAACCACCTCTAACACCACTGAGGTGTATGTACAAGCACACGTCGTGCTTTTTTGATGGCGATGTTGGACGGTGTGGGCTACAGAGACGTGTCGTGAAGGTCTGCTCTGACACGGTGGTTGCGGGGGGGGGGGCTGCGTTGGAGGTATCCCCGCTATAGAGGGACGCCTGATTCTCTCGTTTCGCATCATGCTATCTCAAAAAAACTACACTTTTTGACCAAAGAAGTCGCTCACAGCCGGCATCCACACGTTCTTCACACCAAACGATAGCTGAGCACCACAGCTACTCGTCCCTGCTTTCACTACCCCAAACGGTGGCCTTCAGCGTTCGCGAGATCGATATCCTGTGCAAAAAAAGGGGCGGCGCAATCTAAACTCCTAGCAATGGAAGAGGCAACGATAGAGGGCAACAATAGTTGCGGTCTCAGGGGGGCATGCGCAAAGGTCAGACTTCTTGCCCAACAACAAAAGGGAACGTGAGCTCATCTCATAGGCTACATTTGTAGTCTAGTCTAGATCTACAGTCTCGACGAAGTTTACATATATTACGCTCTTTTTCTCTGAACGGGGAGGGAAATCGGGTACCATCGTAAGCTCGGTAGCGTTTTGAAGCACCTATTATAGAACAATCGCCCACTCGCTGCCTGTTACCCGCTGACACACCAAACCAGGTGAGATATAGCCGATTACTCGAGGAGGGAGACTTCAGGGGGAGAACGGGAGACTTCGTGTGGTTCTTGCTGTTCTGCGCCTCGCTCATGATTGGGGCGGCCCCCTACTTGGCAATGAACTTCCTTGGCCGACCGCTTGCGTTCATGATGGTCTACGTCTGGGGGAGGTGGGTGCTTGAGCGCAAGCACAACGGGCACGGATGATGTGTGTAGCTGTAGCTGTAGACATGCATGGTGTTTACTCGGTGCTGCAGGAAGGGTGTTTTTGAGCTTCCGCAGACCATGCGGGTGGAGCTGACTCGCTAGTGGAAGCGCGTGGGACGAACGCTGTGTGGAGATATCTAGTTACACACAAAGGGGCTCACTTGCGGTTTAGCGGTGGCAAGGCGTGGCAAACAATTTGTAATATCAAAGTAGAGTTTTCTCGGCCCATTTTTTCCTGCCCCATACAAGCGTCAAGTACTATTTCCGGGGCATCATGGTATGCTGCCCATTACCGCCCTCGTATTACTTGCACTGCCAGGAGGCACATTGAGTAAGTCCCTCGTCGATAATCTGACTGCTGCTGCTGCACACATGCCGGCCATATACACGTGGCTTACTCTCGTCCGTTTTTGGGTCCTTTTTTACGTCCTTGCGTCGGCAGGAGAAACGAGCACGTGAGAATGAACCTGCTGGGGATGTTCCCCTTCACGGCGCCGTACTTGCCGTGGGTCCTGCTCCTCCTGTCGGCAGTTCTAGGATCGCCGCTGGAAAGCGATCTGGTGCGTGCTTTCCGCCTCTCGCCTACGCGTTGATATGTTCTCTGAGAAGCAATTACCGCTGTTTTGTGGTAAACTCCAAAACTGTCCTGTCCGGACATCATGGTACTACCTGCATAGCTTTGGAAGGGCGACGCTGCTTTGGTGCAAGTTGAGGCACTTTGGTGTGCAGGCGGTGTAGTCTGTCGTCTTGGAATAGGCGCGGTGTCAGGCAGGGGCACACATCGTGCACAACATGGTAGTGCACAACATGGTTGTCCACGTTACGAAACCACCGGGCCAATGATCCATCTGCCCTCAGCATGCTGACAAACATTGAAACCGTGCGCTATCCCTCATTTTGCCCAATCTGTTGTATTTCCGAACACTTGTTGGCCTTGTCCCCTCTTAGGCTTACCCTGTGCGTCTCCCTCCTTCGACCCACCCGCCCCCTCTGACGCCATCCTGTCGCTCGTGTCCTCAGTTGGGCATCGCCGTTGGTCACCTATTCTTTTTCCTAGAGTTCGTATACCCGGAAGTGGCGAACATCAGGGGCTGGAAGTGGAAGCAGGTGTGTGCGGAGCATTAATGCAACCCTAGACCTAGCGTGCGACTCGTTTGATTTACTCTGCTGTTTGGGATAATCCCTGGTCGGCCTTTGGGAGCGTGTTTATTGTCTGGGGGGGGGGGGCATCCTTCCTTTCAAACCGCTATCCGGATTATGTACGCCTCGAAGAAAGGTTGGAGCACATCTATGTGTCGTATCTTGTGCCGGGTCAATTTAGCGTTCACCGGCAGGTCGCTATCTGTCCTGAGCCCGTTTTGCTGGCGACCTCCGTCCGTGCATGCATACTTGCATGGCATTCCGCTAGTAAATGCCTTCATTCATCGATGGTCCCTGGTTTGGCAAAACCCAAGTCGGTAAATGTGGTTTGTGGTGTCGATTTCGTGGTGGAGACCGATCGCACCCCCTTTCGTGCCCGATAGCGCCAATGTGCAGCATGGTATATACAAGTGCTCTAGAGCAGTCCACCAGCCGTTGATGGGATCGCCCAAAGGCACACGTGTATGCCCCAGAGCTTCGAATGAAACGCTAGTGCATGAGCCATATGCATGTAGTCATCGGCAGCACGAATGTTCTGCCGGCTATGCCTTCTCTTTGCCTCGGTTCTGCGAGTCAAGCACCAACCCATCGGACAGAAGAAGTGGTCGGCAACGCTCCGGTCCCTTCGTAGCTGTCCGTCCCGATGTGTCGTAGGTGAAAATTGAACCCGTCCTTGTTCCTCTACCTTGGCGTTCCTTGCTCGGCCATCGTGTCTCGCTCAGCTCATGCGCGCGCCTAGGATTGTACAGCAGCTTTGCGGGCAGGTGCCTGCCGTGGACCGTCAGGATGTGCCAGTAGTGGTTCCGGTACCCGATGTCGGACAGGGTCACTTGCACGACGACTGATGGGGGGGGGGGGGGGGGGGGGGNGGGGGGGGGGGGGGGGGGGAGAGCAAAACGCCTCGATTCCCCTGAAAAGATGTCTTATTTGTCCTTGGATAGGTTACGGTTTCTTTTGCGGAGTGGGGGAGTCGCGACGTCTGTCGTATGTGGTCAAGTCTGAATGTGGAACACGCGTGCCTGGCGGTACAGCAGTTGGCCTACGAGCAGCATCTGTGGTTCTTCACGCGCACAAGTAGTATGGCCGTTTCACATGGCAGGATCAGATGGTTCTGCCACCGCCCATGTTGATCACGTCTGCCCCCAAGGTGGTCCATCCTTTAAGCTGTTCGAGGGTCTCAGCTGAAAGGGCTTTCTAGGGATTGCTCAAGTTGTATTGCCGTGGAGGGAGCATGTGTGTGTTCGGACGGTCGGTGTAGACACTCGATAAATACCCTTGTTTTTTTGTTTGCTTGTTTGTTTTTGTCTCCCATCATTGGACTCTGTCGTCTGCCCCTCTGGCCCCTATCCTCCACCTCTACCAGCTAGACGACCGAACCGGGGTCACATAGGAGGGGGAATTTGGATCCCCTCCTGCGGTTCCTCCCTGAGATATCTTTATCGCGAGAAGGGTACAGCAATCCCTTCCCTCGCGACTTATGAAGTCGATCAAGTTTTAAGTGTACTAACAACGAGCTTTGCAGCGCGTCGCTTCCAACGGAGACCAGCATTTGATTAGCGAGAAAAAAAAACACTTTCTCGGGACTCTTGTGTTCACTCTCGGTTCTCCTCATTCACCAGCATTCCTGATTTGCCAGTTAGGACCTACGCTACTACGGAAGATACCGAAGCGATGAGAGTGTGACTGGATCTCTACCCGCCGTTTTGGGACTGAGGGTTTGTAGGCGTGGATGTCCTGTGGGTCCGTGGAAAAGGACACGGCCCGTCTGCTGAAATCAGCTGTTTAGCACCGGTTTGGTGCCGTTCCGTTCGTGCCCACGGGTATGACGGTGACACCCTTACTTTACCGTAGAGCTTGATCCTCTTCAGGCCTTGCGTTCTTCGCATGCATGTGTCATGCACACCCCATGTTCCCGGCTCCTTGATCCGGGACCACTACGCTGGAGTTTGAGGTGCACCGTGAAGTACCTGCATTCTGGAAGGGTCAACACCTAGTAGTTCGCTTCTTGCCTTGAAGAGCGGCGACAGGTAGATGTTTGATCGATCTTGAACGTGGAGCCAACGGCAACAATTACTCCTTCACCGTAGGTTGGTGACCGCTTCGGATAATTCTCCGTGGCATGCCGTTGATTTGTACTCACTGCCCATGACTATCTAGTTGTACTATCGAATGCAACTGCAAAGAACTGATAAGTCTATACATGCATAGCGGTCCTGCTTTTTGGCTGCTTCAAGGACGGGAAATCGCTTCAATGTCCTACTTCAAGTACTGCACTGTAAGCTGTAAACAGCCGCAGTGTATGATGCGTTGATGTGCATTTCGAGCGAATTTCCTTGGTACTACAAGCGATTTGTTTTCCTGTGCAGAACGCCTAGACTATAGTCTACCCGTTAGGACCTCTTACACAAGCTCTGCATCGAAATTCGAATTTGCTAAGTGTACTTGATAACACGTGTTAGTCTACATTAGTCTTCGTATGTGTGCATATCTACGCTGTATGATACATATTATTAATAACGCTGAACAATTGAATGGAGCGATCGATTGGTGCGCTTCTTTCTCTCTTCTTGCTGTCCCGTGTGTCATCGCACATTGTACAACTTGCTGTTGTCCGGCTTCGTTTTTTACTCTGAACTCTGTCCCGTCCCATGCACAAAAATTTCAGTACTAGACTACAGCACACGTCCGGCTTGTAGTCCGTTGTTGTTTCACGTGTTTTTGCGGGATTCTCCAGGTATGACGCCCGTTGGTCATGAACAGATTGATATCAGCCACAGCAACACACGAAGGGAGAGCAAACAACATAGTCTACACGCCAAACAATGACAGCGAGATGATTGAGATAATGTGTGTTCTAGAACCTGACCCATATTATTTTCCGTCGTCCATGTTCCGTACCGTACAAAAAGTCGTTTCGTCCCGCGAAGACCGGTGTCTTTCATTGGCCAGCCATTTTTCTATCAACAGACCCACAACATCACACCACCACATGCTCCGCTCTCCCTCTGGTTTCGACCTCACCGACTCCCGACACTGGGAATTCGACGTGCAGCGAACGCCTTTGCCAGCCTTGGCCAACGCAATCCAAGGCAACCAAGATTTATCTTCGCTATCCACAGGTAGGTATGTGTGGGCCCTTTTGTTGCTTTGTGTTTTTTTGTCCGGCTCTCTCTCTGTACCTGTGTGCTCAGCTTCACCTGAAACAACCATCCGGCGGCGAATTGGAAATAGAGCTGGCTGAGGATGATCGTGCATAGCCGAGTGATGGCCATGGCGGAGGGTTGCGTTGGTGTTGGGATCACCTGGGACGGCTTTGCCGCGGGCCGCAGCAGTATCCGTCCGAAAGGCAACTGCTCTCGAGACTTTTAAGCGTTCAGCGCTGAAGTGGAACGTGCGATGTTCCTGCTCAACTCTGCTGTGCAATTAGAGCCAGCCGCTGGCAGTGGCATTTTAGCGTTCACGATGACGCGATGATGCGATCCATGCTGCTCACCCCGAATGGGGGGTAACGGCGCGCATCAGAGAGATCCTCGCCCCTGCAGCTGTGGTGGGTGTACGGATCTGCCGCCCCCGTCTACTAATATCCATGCGGTTGTTTTTGTTGCAAGGTTGCACCACCAGCCTGCGCCGTGATTGTTCAGCAGGCCGCGGCCCGCCTATTGAATAATAGCTAGCACATGACGCGCCGTACTGCTGCCGCACCGAATGCGCCCGCTCTATCGCTTTGCGGCCCCGAGCGCTTTGCCCAGTGTTTTAGACTTGAACCAGACTGCTTGGGGTACGATCAAACGCCAATAGCGCAACGGTATTGAGTGAGGGGCATGGCTCTCCTGTGCACGATGCTGTTTCTTTTTTTTAAAGAGAGAAAGAAACATGTCTGTCTGCCTTTTGAGATGCAAGGCAACGGCGGCGGGGTGTTTTACAGAGGAAGGGACTGCATCTACACTGCTGCTGTGCGCGGTAGTACGAAGGAGCAGCATGGGCGACGCCCTCCAGAAACTCAGCTGCTGGTGTTCGCAAAGATTTATTTCATATACTGATGCGGGGGGGCGGGAAAGGGCGAAGGAGCGGTGCTATCGATCCAGCGATGGGGGTGTAGGGAGTATAATTGTTGTAGCTTAGAAGATCTTGCGTCCCGCCCGACAGCGCATACAAAGAGGCTGTGCATGCATACATTTTAATAGTCTTACCAGGCAGTGCTCTTCACATGTATGTAAACAATGTGATGTTGACAGCAGCTCGTTGCTGTCGCTCGCCCTCTGCATATATGTTCTCTCTTTCTGGTGCAAGGTGATTGCACCGATGTGTCTCCTTTTTTTAGAAAGTAAACATAACCTCACAGAAAGACTACCCGTTCGAGATATAACCTTCTTTGCGCGCGCAACTCACAGATAGCTTGTCGCGACTGCTTGGATGCTTGTGCTGTGCATTGACGCACACAAAAACCTGCTGTCTCCTTCCCTTTTTCTGTTTTTAGTCCGCTGGTCGCCTCTTTCCTACTACGATAAAGCAAGCGATATTCCAGGACTTTGCAAAGACAAGACGTCCAAGTGTTCAATAACCCGAGCATAAAGCCGAGACTGTTGCTCATGGTGCGATGCGCGCGTTTATTGTTGTCGATGATGTGGTGAGCGCACTTTTCAAAAAACAGTACAACAGCGGCATTTTTAGTTTCTACAAACGCCGGCAGCTTGTCTTGAAGTGTGTAAGGAACAACATATGTATGTAGTCTAGCGTATTGTAGAGCCAGCGACAAATTCAGGGTCGCATGCCGCGGCATGTTGAAGAAAACCAGGGTACACCACCCGCCACCCGCGGCAAGATATCCACAACTAACTTCTATCTACCATGCATACAGTGGGAACACCCTTGACGCGTGAGGTAATTTCGGTGGCCCTCCGGCCTAGGGTAAACCGTGCCGCAAAGGTTCGGGAAATCATTTGTTAAGTCTGCAGGCAGCTGCACGCAAGCAATAAATCACATGACCTCACAGTTCGGTTGGTGCCAACGGTCGTGTCAACACTAACATCTAACGCTTAAACGCAGCACTTAAGCCTGTCTATATGCAGCCTGTAGCCTGTAGTTTCGTCGGAGGAATAGTCTACCAAGGCCAACTCAAGATTCTACGGTACTGTAGATATGCAGTACAATATATATGTGTATGATGCATGATTTTTCAGACATAATCTCATTGAAAGACTATTTACGTACCCGTTCGAGATATAACCCCAGTTGAATGTTTTTGTCATGAACAAAGTACTCCCCCCCCCTGTGAGGATTTGTTTCTTTAGACTATTCCCCCTCGAGGTGAGATGACAAAGAAAGCTAGAAGTAGGGAGTAGTTGCAGTGTAGGTACTGCCGAAACAGCCGGTCTGCTGGGTGGCGATGGCGAATGCAACCCAACCAAACCCGTAACTATCGTAGAAATTCTGAGGGTTTGCCCGGCGATGAGTGCACAGTCGTATGCGTACGATTGCATCGTGTGAGGAAAACAACTAGTCTACTCGTGGCATAGGGGAGGCAGGGACCGATCGATCGTCGTGCGATGATAGTAGTACCCGAGTGTACTGTAGCCCCGGAGCTGTTGGTTTGAGATTTAAGGATGGGAACGAGAGACCAGACTGCCGGGGAGAAAGCACTTACTCTAGAGGCTTAACATTTTCTTGTGTCTGTAGCGGGTGGTCTTTCTGGGTCTCTATGTATCTAGCATATGTATTATCCGAATATTTATTATGATGAGGCTTCAGTATAGTAGCATGCAACAGCAGAGAGTGGTGCTAACAATGGGCTACGCATGGCGTGCTATGTAGCATGAATTCCTCTACACTCACTACCGTTACGTTCCTGTTGGCTGCCTGTTGTGTCCTCTATGTGCTTTCTCGGTTGTGGCCACATTCAGGAGTTAGGGCAGGGTGCGATGGCGTCTGCCGTAGACAGGGTACAGATGAGGCTGCAAGAGGCCATGGACCAGGGCAACCAGGCGTCTCTTGGACAGGCCATTGACGCTTCGAAGGGCGTGAACGGACTCAAGCAGCTTCGACGCTCCGCCAAGGTACTACAGTAGTATTCTGTTCATTCTGTTCGGGACAGAGGACACGCGTCAGAGCCACTACCGTACCGACAAACTAACAAACAAAGCAACTCAAGACAACACAAAAAAAGACAGAACGGCCCACCCGAGACAGCCAATGCACGTCATCGTTTGTGGGGGGTTGGTGCGATGGTGCAAAGACGGGGGGGGGGACTATTAGTCAATCCAGCGGCTCAATGGTTTGAAAGGGGTTTGATGATTCAGCGATATTTCTGGAGGTACGGTACTGCGTGGTTTTCTCAAGTGGTGCCCCATGCGTGGATTGCCCTCGGGATACGACACGTCACGCGGAGAGAACAATACTCACTGCAAAGACTTCAACACAACCCCTTCGACTGTGGTATCTCGAATGGGCAGTATTATTGACTGTACTTGCATACTGTCTAGTTGGGGTTTCGTTCAATGCAATAGGCTTGTACAGACTGGAAATAAGTTTGCATCCAGTCCGTTTCTCTTCCACCCATTGCAAAGACTTCAACCCTCCCTTCGACTATGATTGTGTCTTGAAGGGGCAGTCTTTCGTTGGAACTTTCGTTCGAACACTAAACGAAGACAGACAGGTGACGGGAAAATCCACACCCGCCTTGCACCCACAGAAGAAGGAAAACGTTTGCTTCACAACAGAGTATAAGGGTATAGAATCCGATGCCGGATCGTAGTGCGTGGTTTTCAGCAAAAAAAGCTTCCGAAGCAGACGTGACGGGTCACTCAGGTCAAGCACTGGGTTGTCTGTCGTAAGGTCCCAATGCCTCCAAATAATGGTTAATTTGAACGTGTTATTTCGGAGTTTCGGAAATAATCCGTTTCGGAAAGTTCACTGTCACTTGAGTGTGAGGAGCCAGTTAATGGCCGTCATAAGAAATGAGCTTTCTACCCCAAGAAGATTGTTTCAGCACGAAGGGTAGCTGGGGTCTGCCAATTGTGGCGTTGTTATTGGATTAGCGCGGATGTGGTAGCTCATGCCGCCCACGGAATGTGCTCCCTCTGATGTTTCGTTGACAAACACACAAACACATCCAGTCTTGAGAAGGACTTGACAAGGAAATTTACGAAGGAAATGCCCAGGACCTGACAAAGAAAAGAAGGGACTCGTACGCAAGGTTTTTGTTTTTTCGCCAACGGCCCCCTTGTCTTGTCCTGTTCCGCACTGCCCAAAGGTGTGCCTTCGCGGATAGACAAAATACATGCTCGCGTTTTTTTTTGTCACGTCTACACGCGTGGCGGCCATGGGTACGTATGTCCCCGATCACGGTTGGACCGTTGGTTGCACAAGGTACTTGTGTTTGTGTTTTGCCGAAGTTTATCTCCCGCTTGTTTTTTTGTTTTGGAACTTCAGGCCCGGCTGAAACAACTGTCGGCGGATCAAAATCGTTCCATGATTGGGTCCCGCATGCAGCAGCAGCAACAGCAGCAGACGACAGAGGAGCCCTTGACATGGAGGACGTCCGAACAGGTGATTGGTTAAGGACTCTGCTGTAGTAGCGTGTAAGATGTCCTGGCCCGGATGGACTATTGTTACTGCCGCTGTCCATATTTTCAAGACGCTTTCCATATCACAGGTCGTCGAGACATGATCCACTGCTGCTTCAAGCCAGGCATGCTTTTTCTTCGCACTCCGAACATTTTTATGTTTGGGTTCGCAGAAAACATTGAAGAATGAGTCCGCTGTGTTTGGTTGGAGATGATTTGACATCAAATTTCCCGCCCTTTTTCTTTTCTTGTTCTGTCGATGTTGAAGGGCGGTCGGTATCGTGCGGTGGCTCACTTGCCCACGTCCATCATCGGCTGGGTGATCGGGCACAAGGGCTGCAACGCGCGCATGCTTAAGCAGCAGACAGGCACAGAGCTCTGGGTGGATGTTCCCGGGCAGGTATAAACAAGGACAATACATTGGTTTGGATTGCGTCTTTCTTATTTTGCTGTTTCGTCTTTGACTTGTATTGGCCTGCGAACCCTTCCGGTCCATTTTGTTTTCGTATACCTTTTTTGGGCGAGTTTGCCCGTAACCAGGGGAATCGACCCCGTGAAGTGTTGTAGTACGGACAGAAGAAGGTACTGGGCAAAGAGAACGGCATGGTTTTTAATGTGAAGACAACAACTACAATTACGCTATGGTACTGTCATTTGCGTATGTATTGTGATGTGGACGTTGTGTTAAGGAGGACCCGCTTCCTAAGGTATCCATCGAATTATTTTTTTCATAAAATGCTACACCTTCCTTCGCAGTCGCATGCGATGACGCTGTGAAAAGGGGTCACAAGGTGATTCACCGTGCTCTCTCGATATTCTCAGGCGAAAGTAAACATAGTCTGATCCCCTCTATTGCTCCCGTATTTTTGCAGGGCTCTGATTGTATTTTTCGTTATTCTCTAGAAGGGCGGATGGATTTGCCTAGGATATTGAACTCCTTGCTTGCTTTTTCCGGAAATCCTCATGCCGCGGTGTGTCCACTGCCCACTTATCCCCGTTTCTGCATAGAACCGACCCAGGACTCTGTTCGACCGGTCGACCACGCACATGATCATTTTAGTGTTGTTGCGCTACTCGCCTGTTTCGACTGGTTCGACTGTTTCGACGTTTTCACCGTGTGGCCGTTTTGACCCTTTCCCACTTTCGTTTTTGTATGTGTTGTCTCCGAAGCATGAGTGATGATCTTGGTGAGACTCGAGGGCCTGCTCACCCCCTGCTTGAACCGTTTACGTTCGCAGTGTGTGATTATTGAGTCGAGGGCCATCCAGGAGTTGGAGGGGGCCATGGAAACCGTCAACAACTTCGTCAAAACGGCTCCCACGTTTATTGCCAAGGCCCAGGTAATTAACACATGGTTTTGTTGTTTCGTGTTGTCGCTTACCGACGAACACTTTGTTTTGGTGTTGCACTTGAAGGTCAGGGAGGATGTGTCCCACAAGGTAGCACCTTTCGATATACTGGCATACAGTAACTCATGCTTGGAGACATGTCGATCTTCCCGGCTTGCGTCAGTTTTCGAGACGCGAAAGTGCGGTAATAGTTCGAGCCCCCTCACGACAATGGATTGCCTAATCAGTGTACCATTTCCATTTCCATTTCCATTTCCACCTTCCGCGGTAAGTCTGTCTACTGTAATAACTATTTGCGATAAATATCGTCACGAGTGCATCGGCCGACCCATACTCCAACCCAAACGTTTATCCGGCTTCACACCCGCGAAACTTGATTGCTGTTTTGTTGTTGTCGTCCTTGTTCGTCTTGATCGTAGTCGACCAGCGGCGGGGGCGTCACGCAGACCGTTCAGTGCCCGGTTCACCTGCTGCCGTCCATCCAAAGGCTCAGCCGCAAGATACAGGCTGAGAGCGGCGCCAACTGCGTGTTCGCAAACTGCAAGGTCAGGCCCTTTCAACAACTCAACCCCAACCCTAAACCTATCTCACCCTAGCTAACCCTAACCCTAAAAGTTGTACAAGTATATAGGAAAGGCTACGTACTGTCACTCGCTGCATGTGTTGTATGTATTGGTTGGATACCCATGCGCGGTGTTGAGTTTGAGCTGTGACATTTTGTCTGATCGGCGAGGCACCTGTTGACACAGCCGACCAGACCGACAGATAGACTGAAGGTGGCGGCATGGATTGTCTCATGGGGCTAGATAGGGTCATGATATCGCTTGATGCTGTGATGGGCTGTACTGACAAACGTAACATGAACGACGCGCCTTATGCCGATCTTTGTGTTTTTGGCTGACGCGGTGCCCGCCCTTTGCTGCTGTTTGTCGACAGATGTCGACGTTCTGCGTGACGGGAGACAGAAAAAACGTCGACAAGGCGGTGGCCATGCTGAAGCGCCTCATCGCGGAAGGGAGCGTCGAGCATGAACGTACCCACGGGGCCCCGGCGGGGGGTAACGGCAACATCGCCGGCGGCAACACAAAGCAGCAGCAGCAGCAGCAGCAGCAGCAGCAGCAGCAGCAGCAGCAGCACCATCTCCAGCAGCACCATCTCCAGCAGCAGCAGCATCACCAGCAGCAGCAGCAGCAGAACAACGGCGGAGGAGATCGTAGAGTCATCCCATCTGGTTCCGGCGGCGGCGCCGGCATGCGCGGGCCGGCCGGAGACCTAGCCCGACGGCTAAGCCACGTCGGGAGCGACATGTCCCACAGCGATGGGAGTTCACCTACGGCTCCTTGCAGGTAAAGGTTTCTGCTGGGTTAGTCAATGCCCCCAACGCCTCTACCTACAGTAGTAGGACCCATGGTTTGCCATCGGGGTTGGGTACTCGTCGCTTGGCAACGACGTTGTAAAACAAGCCAATTCACCTCGTGAACTCGGCAACCAGGTTACCGTTTTTTTTTACCTCTGTTTTTTTTTGGCGGTAACCATAATGGTGGTCGAGTAGATCATGTTGTGCGGGGTCGAGAACCCTCACTCCGCGCAAGGGGGATGATCGCACCACGTCGTGTTAAAATGGTCAAGCACCCTCGAGGCAGTTTCACAGTGCTCACAACTGTCTCTGGAAGTGATTGCACCAGAAAACAAATTAAGTCATACGCAGCTGTCATCCGTACGCAAGGAAGTAAGCACAAGATCTGAACACCCTTAGCCGGATGAAGCGCACCCTTCATGCGACTCGCCGAATATCTCACGGCGCTTCGCGCTTGATGATGTGAGAGCCTGGTCCGCTGAGAACCCGGCGTGCTCCGTCCCGGCTTTGTAGGGATGCGAGGTCAATGGTCTAACGACTACGGCATGCACGACTATGAGTGCACCCCCCCCTCCCATGGTAAACGGTCTCACATCCAAGGCACGCATATAACACGAAGTAATCCCCCTCCGGCCCTCTGCGCTTCTCTAAACCTTGCACTGAACTCGGGAAACTCGGACATCGACAACGAACGAACGGCCTTACACCCGAAACCCAGCCCTGAAGTGGCCCAAGCCGTCAACGCCTGGGGCAACGGTGCTCCGTCGCACCTCCGGACATGGAACAACCCCCAGCAGTCGCTCCACCACCAACAGCAAGAGCAACAACAGCACCAGCTGTACCAACAGCACCAGCAGCAGTTGCACCAGCAGCAGCACCACCACCAACAGCAGCCGCTGCAACAAGAGCAAGATCCCCGGTTGTCAACGCCGACTATGGCCTCCGCGAGCGCGCCGACGCCGACGCCGCCCATCCTAGCCGCCGCCGTCACCGCCCCCCCGGCGGTCGGAGGGCCATTGCCTCCGCCGCACACCGAGCTCGCGCCCTCACACTACCCCTTGAGCGCACCGGCGACGCCGGGGGGCACCGCAGCTCCGTTCCAAGGCTCGTCCGCTGCCACCCCCGTCGGCGGCGGCGGAGGCGGCGGGGCCTCCTCCTCCGACCTCTCGTTTTTCTCGTTCGGTGTCGGCGGCGCAAGCCCTCCCGCGCCGCAAGGCGGAGCCCCGGCGCCGCGCGCGTCGACCGCGCCCACGCCGGGGTCGGGGGGAGGGTTCGGCGGCAGCGGCGGCGGCGGTGGCGGCGGGACCCCCGGTGGCGGGTTGGGTATCGGTCTCCCCGGACTTGGATTCCTTGAAGAGTCTGCCGGCGGCGCAGGGAGTAGGCTGGGCTACGAGCGTGACGGCGATGACGAGGTGGGTGTTCGGTGTTCGGTTGCCTGCTGCCGTTGCCTGTGTGTTGTTTCTTTGGGGGGGGAGGTTGTGCTGGTTTATGGCGAAGGCGAAGGCGAAGGCGAAGGCGAAGGCGAAGGCGAAGGCGAAGGCGAAGAACAGGGGCAGAGAGCGGTCCAGCGCACAACAACAGTTGCTGCTGTGCTGCTGGGGAATGTATCATGATCCTTTTTAAATGTCTCTAGGTCAGAGGTCCTGGAGAAGAGGCGATCAAAGGTAAATGGAGCCTGGCACGAAAGGTGTGTATTGTACAACTGTACTACTGTAGTCTGTTGAACGAACGTGTGCCACTGCTTCATCATGGCCAACGTTCGTTTTTCACATTGCTCGTTCCGTGGTTGAGCAGTCCAACCATACTGTTCGCGGAAGGATGTGTAGGCTCTTCCGCAGAGATACGAGCACCGCACACTCCGCTTTCGCAATGCGTCGAGTCATATCCAGCCCCCCCTCAGCCCCCTCGCCATAGCTGACCGTGTCTTCTTATTGCGCCCGACTCACCACCGTACCACCCTACCACCCTACCACCCTACCACCCTACCACCCTACCACCGTTCTTCCCCCCTGATCGGTCCACCACCAGAGACGGACCAGTAGCTGCGGCTCGGGCGATTTCGGCGGAGGCGAGGCGTCCGGGTTCCCCCCCCACCACTCTCGTCAGCCGGGGAGCGTCGGGAGCTTGGGGGCCGGCAGCGGCAGCGGGGGGGGGGGCGTCGCGGGGCCCGGGGGGGGCGGCGGGGCCGCCGGGTGCCCTCTCGAGGGCACCATCGACGAGCTCTTGGACGAGATCGGGCTGATCAAGTACCTTGACGTATTTCGCGAGGCAGAGGTCGATCTTGCGACGTTGTGTATCATGTCGGAACAGGACTTCCGCGAGCTGGGCATCCTCAAGGGACCCCGCGTCAAGATCATGCACCACATAGGCTCGCGCTAACTTTGGAGAGCGAGGACTTCTCGTATTGATTGCTTGCTTTTGGCGATGATGCCCGCTGCTGCTCGCTGCTGCTGCTGCTGCCACCGGTTCGTGCTTGGCAAATAGTAGACTACAGCACGCAACCAACCCCGATTTCGTAGATTGACGATGCCCGGCGTGCCCGCCCGCGGAGGCCTCCCGGTGTTCCAGGTGTTGTTTTGGCACGTGTTAAGTATGCGGTAGCATTTCTTTGTTGGCGGCCTGCTGTACGTGCGGCCTGCATCATTGAGTCGGGGGCGGGTAAATAGTAAATACGGTGCACTCCGTGAAAACAAATGTTGCGTTGTTGTTTGTGGCCCTCTTGACATGTTTTTTTTCTTTGCGCGCGCGTGCATGCGAGGGTTTGGCTTTCTATTCTACTTGTGAGGCAAGGAAGGGAGGATCCTCGAGTTTTGTGCTTGGAGCCAATCTGAATTGTGTACCACTCCGCGAAACGAGCTTCGGTGCTAAGATCCATTGAAGGGAAGGGGAGCTTAGGTGTTCGGACATCGGGCCTGCCACACGGCACGGATTGGGCGACAAAAGTCTAGACATGTTTTGGTCCTAATTTCCCTTGCTGACAAAAGAGGAAGCGCTTTTGCATGTGTTGCGAGGAGGAGGAGGACGATGTGGGCTTCGAGTCCTTGCAATCGGCCATTGTATTCCATCCCCCCCGAGCCGATGTGACATTGCGGAGCGAGCGTGGGAAGGGGGTGTACCGGCAGAGCATTTTTCCCAGCTACGGGGCACGCAGCTCGTGTGTTAATAGTGGCTGCATAGAATTGGGGTCGTAAGGCTTGAAACTTGCTTTCTTTCCGTCTGTCTGGGCTCGAAACAAGCAAGAATAATTTGTGCATTTTTTGGGGGGGGTTGTTGTGAAAGTGAGAGACATCCCCCCGTTTTTTCTTGGTCCGACTTGCTTGTCCTTGGGCTTTTGAGTGCCGAGGCGGCATACCACCGTTTGTCGTCCTGGCCGCTGGCGCGCGGGAGAGAGGGGGGGTAAGGATGGAGACGGGGAGGGGGGTGTAGATGTATGAGACCGAGTTGGTTACATATTGGGAAGTAAGAGGATGGCGGGCGCGGGGTGTGCGCTCCTTTTTTGTCGATATTTTTATTTTATTGCCGTAGAATCGCCTAGCTAGCTAGCCTGCCTAGCCTTGTCCACGGCGAGGTTAAAAAAGAAACTGAAAATAAAAAGTTTTTTCGTTGTTGTTGTTGTCTTTGTTGGCGCAACAACGCCAAGTAAGCACGAAGCCTTTCGATGTAACTCTTCGTTTTACTGCTGTTGGCGAGGAGAACAACGCAGCAGGTGGGAAGTGTCATCATCATGGAAACCGTAACCTTTGGCTGTTGCTGGTGTTTTTGCTGGTGTCGTTGATTGCTGTGTGGTTGTCTGGGCTGCTGTTTGATTGCCGTAGTCGGTGACTGGCTGTAAAGAATCTCGGACATGTTGTCTGCAGAATGTTGATGTAGGTCGATGCGTGGCTTTTTTTTTTACGACTTGATCGCTCTTTTTGCTTTGCCAGTTGGTTTGTGGCTCTATGTACGAGATATTGGCTACATTTCAACGGGATGGGGCTACAAACAGTTGACGATTCCGTGGACTAACGCCGTGGATATCAACGCGAGATAATGTATGTATATTCCTTTACCCTGTGTGTGCCATTGGCGCGCTAGTATCGGTGGCGGGAAATAGATGTGGGAGATCGGGGGGGGAGGGGGGGGGTCGTTGGTGTGTCTTGCGTCACGGATCGGGGAAGTACGTGTGTTTGCTGAACTCGCCCAAGCCGATACAGCATATTTATCGCGGCATATCGTATTCACAACTCAAGCAGTGACAACTAGCTGTTTTCTTCGTCAAGTCTCGCTTTCGTAGCATAGACAAATGCAACGTTGATTGATACCGTGTTGAAGGCAATGGCACCGGGATTATTTTTTGGGGGGGGGAGAGGAGGGGATGGTGATAGAAGTGAGGCCGCGTGAGTCCATCTCATGACATGAAGGACTGCACCATCACCGTTGGATGAGTACGGTACGTCGTATATCGTTGCCTTTTTAGAATCATAGTAGAAATAAAAGTCTGTCTGTACAATATCATAAAAGTCACACACAAGAGTAGCTCCGCACACGCGAGAAAGCTTATGTGGGCGTGGCCTTTTTCATGGTGTTTCGTACCAGCAGATTTAAGTCTTGCTTCTCGTGGCACGTCGGTGGGCTGCACGCAACCGCTATAGACTATTGACGATGGCGGAAGTTGTCAGCTGTTGGGTTTCCGCTGCCTAGTTTCAGACCATGTCCGTTCTGCGCCTGGCCTGCAGTTTTGTGGCATCTAGGAGTCTTGATCACTCGGTCGGGTTTTGTTGTTTTTTTGCTTGATTTGGTCCTCCATCAGACTGCCCTTACCTGCCTCAACAAGAAGACAAGAACGCGCTGTAGTGCGTCACATCAAACGAAGAGCAGGACGAACCGTGCATACTTTTTTTTCCCAGCGTTTTCCTGGCGGACGACCATATGGATGTCGGCACCACGTACTGTAGCCTCGGCACTAATATAACTTCTGCTGAGATGGGAAGATTGGGTGCTGATTCACAACGAAGTCTTGTGTGCTTTTTGCAGAATTCACGGTAAACATTGGTAGTCGTGAACAGCAGCAGAGTAGTAGAGCCTCAAGTGGGGAAATACTATTTACTATTGCTGTTCGTTGCACGGAACGTTTTCCAGTAGAGACGTGGGGGGGATTAATGTATCTTCACCGCAAGGTGAAATAGGCTGCCTGTATTTCATTGTCCAAACCTTGATCTTGAAGCTATGTAGAAGAGACGAAATTTTCATGCCCCGGGAGTTCGAGGGGGTGGGTGGGTGGGTGGGGGGCGGGAAGGAACCAATAATCTTCGTGCACTGTGCAAAAGAGCTGTTGTTCTTTTGTCTGTCTGAGGGGCTACCTTTAGTCTCCGCGGCAGGCAGAGGAATGGATAGGTGTTGGCACAGAATGTATAGAACTGCTCTATTGCATGGATGCGCGGGTTGATCGACTTCTTCTCCGCTACTTCTTTTGCGGTTGGAAATTGGTCAACAGCATAAAGACACGTTATTCGCGCCTGGTTGCAACTCGAAGGCTCGGCGTCTGGTAAAGCTTGAGATGTTCATGTGTGATGTGCAGGAAGGACGTTCGCTGCCTTGCCGTGTTTTTCACGCGATAATAGTTTGCCCACTGGTGGCGATACCAGCAGGTAGATTTCATCCAGCGAAATGGTAACTTCGACGTGTTGTTGAGTCGTATTGAGTTGTTCCTCGTGGTCGTTAAGCTCCTTGTAACAGCAGCAGTAGCGCTTTCAAGTCGTCACTACATGTCCTTTTGCGTGGATGCACAGGCGAAGCACAGGCTATACGACGATGTGCTGTCCCTCATTTGCTCTTTTTCTGTCCATCAGGAACCCTCAGCGCGTGTGATGCTATTTGGGTCTCTGGCAAGTAAATGGACTTTTACCAAGAATGCTGGGGTTTCGAGGTGTTCCATCTTTAGCAGTAGGATAAGAGTTTGATGGTGTGGCTGTTCAGGGTTCATGCCGCTTGGCGTGGCGACCGAGGAATATCGAGCCAGGGGCGGAGACGATGGGGGTAAAAGGTAGGATTGGGGCAAGGGAGGGGGCTCGCGTGAGTACATCTTACGAAGAAACAAGGGGTGCGTTTTTAGATTCGTCGCTCACAAAGCATTCGATTTAAACAAGCGTACAGTTCAACCGGCGAAGGGCTTGGATGATTTCAACAAGTGTCACGAGAGACATGACGAGCGGGACAAAAAAAGTTGTGGAGGTACCCATAGGTGTGGTGGAGTCAACGAGGAAGAGTGTGGGATCCTGTGTCTTTCACCCTCTCAACCACGGTGTGATCAGTTTTGTGCGAGCCAACTCACGATCGGCCATTTGCCAACCATGGCGGCATGCGTGCGCCAGAGTTAGGCAGTGTCTTGACCTTAGGCAAGCAAACGAGACATGCACCTCAAGTATATACTCATCGTCTGGTGCGCCAATCGGTCTTAACCGCAATCTCTCGTGCTTTTTTCTGTGCTTGGCATGATGGGTCTCTAATGAAAGACCGAATCCCCGGAGGACACCGGGCCTCTGTGATAGGACAGTCAACAAAAGAGTCCAAGCACACCCATGTTGATCTTGCCAAAAGGATCGCACGACGTGGGCTGACGTGACTGCCTACAGCACAGTATCACGAACAAGCGGTTCGTATTTGAACCTCAGGCAGACTGACAAGAAACGGCCTGTCCTTCATCGAACACCCCCACCAACCCTAACCCGATGCACAACCCAATGCTAATGCTGCCTCGCCGCAACTTGCCGTGCTGTGCAACAAGATGACATTGTACTACAAGACTGTCCGCCTCACACCGTACGGGTGGCGTGAATTTGATCGTCCCTCGTCCTTCTTGCTGCGGCGGAAAGCTGTCACACCGAGACCCCTCTACCCTCTAGTGAACCAACCGCACGAAAGATGTCAAAGACATCATCGGCAGTGAAATCGTCCGTTCCTTTCTCTGCCTTCCTTCCCCCAGAGGGTCTCACGAAGCACGATACGTTCATCACCATCACACAACCGCAACGACCACAAGGAAGGGCGAAGCTCTGACACACCTAGAGGACACTCCCTCATATATTTTTTGCTCCCGAAGGTTGCCATAATGCCTCTAACCCCAACACAGCTTGCTACCCAGGACACGACGACCTCACCGAACACGTGTGAGCAGATTTTTTTGTACAGGCCAAGGCACCCAACTCAAAGCAAGTACGTATGGCAGCTGTTTTATGCCACCTCGCCCACGTCCTTTCTATTCATTCCTGCAACGCAGTATGTAGGGCGAAACACACGACCATCAAAAGCGTTCGCGCTGCCAGGGACGAACTGCAGAGACGGCTGGATTCTCGCCCTCAACCATAGTCTACACGGCCTTACTTCTTTCGGGCCAAGTTCGGGCAAGGCTAGTGCTAGTCCTTCCAACGGTACACGACCGAGGGCACTTTGCAAGCCTCGTCGTCGTCGTTGACGCACGACACTTGCAACTCCACGTAGCACCGCCCTTCGGGGATGACTGGTCCTGCCGGTGACTGCATGCACAAACATTATACAGCAAGATTCGCCGGTGGTTCGCCACAGACGGATAGGTTCGGGCGACACGTCAAAAACGGCACACGCGACAAGCGAAAAGCGAAACACCCACGACGTCGTCACTGCACGTTAGTATCACTGTCACCTTCACCGTCATACACAGGGCCTGATCGTCCCCTCGTCATGCTATCCCACTTGCGCCGTCTCTTGATCAAACAATATCTTCACGCTGCTGCACACATGTACATTGTATTGCTAAGGACTTGGGCAAAGGAGTGACGCTTGTGGTGTTCTGTGGCCTTGGCCACCACTACTTTTTCTCATCGCGCATCAACACAACACGTTTGGTAGTCTATTACCATGGTAGTGGGTTATCAAAAAAATACGCCATGTATTATGTTAGAGAACACGAATGGTCTGCCTCACGTCTTTGAATCTCTCTTGGACCCACTCCACGAGGGGTTGGTCCATGGCACCGGCGTAGAGCTCTTTCAGCTTGGCGTTCCACGGCTGCAGTACAACAGCAATGGCAGCAGCAGCAACAACAATGGCAGCAGCAGCAACAACAATGGCAGCAGCAGCAGCAGCAACAACGACAACAGCAGCAGTTAATGCACCGCAGACAGACAGAAGGGAACACCGGGTAGAAAGCACGACGTAGAAGGACACGCAGCGTGGCGGCAGCTGCGGTGCAAGATACCGGCAACACCACCACGGCAGGACGTGATCAACATACCGGCCACATCCCAACTCGGCATCACGCCCAGGTGGGACCGCACGACCGCACCCGTTGTTTCTGATACTGTTGGACCTCGAGATTAGACCGCTAACGACCAGCAAACATCGGCATAACGACCAGCCCAAAAAACATTTTTTTTCCTGACTCGGTGGCCGAAATATTATTATCTTGGATTGAGACCGGGATTTAACAATCAAAAGTGCTGGCCCCAGGTGGGGAGTGAGCGCTTCAACCTTTACAACACCTGTCTACAGATCATACTCTATCAATCACCCGGTTTGGATTTTTTGTCCGCACCCCGGAAGACTGAGAACATACGTTTTATACTGGATTTTAAAGGCCTTTGGCCAGGTTTCTCGTTTTTTTCCCGTTGAGTTCGAAAAACTGAACCGGGTGATCGCTTCCTTTGGGTTTTGCGCACACACCGCAACAAACCGCATCCCGATTCTAGCTGTTGCGGTAGAGAGATTGCGAACGCCGCAAAGCCTCTCATGGGCACCGCTGGACGCAAAAAGAAATGGACAAAGGGGAGGAGAAGAAAAAGCTTCAAGGAACAGGGCGATAACGTTATGGCGCGAACTGGTATCACGTTTTCCCAAGCAGGAGTTGATGCGCGCCGCTTGAAGGCTCTCGAGGACAAGGACTACCGTGCCTTGAAGCGAATATGGGTCGCTCACGTCAACAAGCTGAAACAGGCGGCTGCGGTGAAGCGCAAGCTNTCTAGCTGTTGCGGTAGAGAGATTGCGAACGCCGCAAAGCCTCTCATGGGCACCGCTGGACGCAAAAAGAAATGGACAAAGGGGAGGAGAAGAAAAAGCTTCAAGGAACAGGGCGATAACGTTATGGCGCGAACTGGTATCACGTTTTCCCAAGCAGGAGTTGATGCGCGCCGCTTGAAGGCTCTCGAGGACAAGGACTACCGTGCCTTGAAGCGAATATGGGTCGCTCACGTCAACAAGCTGAAACAGGCGGCTGCGGTGAAGCGCAAGCTTGCCGCAAAGCAAAAATCGGCAGAGGAAGAAGCGAAGAAGCAAGCGCGGATGCTGGAAAACGAAGAGGAGCGGATGTGTAGCATTCGGCGGTGCCGTGACCGGACTTCTGGCAGGCGGAAATGCACAGAGAGTGAGCTGTACCCAGCTCGTGCATGTGGTGACAAAGAAGTCTCGGGCTTGTCCAAAATATTGTGACGTGTCCGCCCATCCTGCTGTTTTGATTGGTTGGAACATATTTTTAAAAGTCTATTCGGCTAGCGACCAAGGAATTTTTTTTTCGCCCTGAAAAACTTCTATTCTCGAGGTCTAACTGTATACCATCAAGCTTTCTCTTTCAGCATCTTGTTAGTTCGTCACCACCACAATAACACAACATGAACGATCGATCGATCAAGTCCAGGCACACGGTACATGGAGGTCGTAGGTTCGCATTCAATTCCACTTTTTTTTTTAACAAGAACAATGGCTGCCTATCTCTTCGCCCTCACCTGGGAATCGTACAACATGCGCCCCTTTTGTGGCCCGTCGATCTCGCTGACCGAGTGGAAAAGCAATGAGACCGTCAGGCCTATTATAGTGGTATTAACATTACATCACGGAAACCGCACACATGGAAGGGAAGGAGGGAGGGAAGCTTAATCGCCTGAGGTAATCAATGGAGCTGAGAACGGCTTGCACGCCAAGACTACAAGCATTGCAACATACCCGCAACGTAAAACAGCAACAGCAACCTACCAACGTCGCAACAACAACAGCAACAGCGCCCACCTCTTCGAACCTAAAATAGCACCTACCGGTCTTTTCCTTGAAGGCAGCCAGGAACTGCTTGAGGGTTAGCTCTCCCTTGTCGATCCAGGTCCTGTCCCACTTCGTGAAACCGGCCGGGATGCACTTGACCTCTTCCAGAGCGATCGGGTCGAACTCGTCTTTTGCCTTCTCCGGGGGGGCTGTTGCAATACAGCGCAAGACATAAAAAAAAGAATGGGGGGGGGGGGGGGGGGG